AATTCAGATATTAAAAAAAACCAAACAGCAGACATGCTAAATATTAAGTGACTTGACTGATGTTTGGTAGGAAACATGCAGCCAATGCAGGAGCAGAGCACTTTAATCAAATCTTTGTGGAAAATGTGGAGTTATTAAAAAATCTTTGTCTTGATCCTGCTTGTAATCTGTGCATCATCTTAAGCTTAATCTGTGCAAGGAACTGCCCTTCTGGGTGACGTCTGTCTTCCTACTTGTATCTAATTCAAAGAATTCAGGTATTTTCCATCTCCGCTTACTGCAAGGCTCCAAGGCCATTAGTTTATGCCTTGACTAACAGTCACATACCTCTCTCGAATCCATTCAGCGTCTTGACTGGTGGTTCTCACTCCCCCGTTCCATCGTGCCAGAGACAAGCCCCGTGTCTGAGCTCCTCAACCATCCCCAACTTGTTTCCATCCCATTTGTTCTGCTTATCAGGCTGGTGTCTGTCACCTGCTTCTCTGGTTTTCACCAGTGTCTGCATTTTTTCCGTGTTCTTCATCAGATGAGGAAAAACTTGTTATCAAAGTAGATACATCTGTTAGTGAATCCTCTTTTACATCCCTCTGGAAACGAGATTTTTCCATGATGATTTCAATTTTTTTACTTCTGTTGGTATTTCTTAAGCGAATGACTTTGCAAAAAGGCTTTGTTTTAACAGATCTTTATAATTTTCAGCCATTTGTGACCAAGGACATTTTACCCCTAAGGGTTAGTTAATGAATTAATTCACACTTTTGGAAGAAGTCTGATGTGAAATTACCCAACAGAAGGGAAATAAAAGATGTGAGACAACTTCTTGGGCAACAAGTGACCTGATTCTTCCCTTCCTTTAATTTTGGAAAGCTGTTAGGAGCCGGTTGTTTGATGTGATGAGTGTCACCATAAATATGTCTTGTATTTAACTTAATGTGTATTCATAACTGTAAGTGGAAAATGGCTGTCTTAAAAACTAGAGGAACTGAAAAGGACTGAGTTGTATGTCCAGGGAGGTCCCTGCAAGCAGATGTTGTGGAGCGCACAAAGAAAAGACGTGTAATTTCCTGCCCCTATGACACTCTTCTATATTGTGACAGCAAGACCTGGGATGCAAACATATTTTGTTTGCATCTGCAAACTGCCCTAAGCATCCCCAGTTCTCGGGGTCTGCTAAAATTCTGTGTAAGGCCAAGATATTTTAAAAATTTTTATTTGCAAGTTTTTATAGGCTATAATGTGCTATCATATCTTTGCTTAAATGACTATATGCTATTTAGCAAATGAGTGTTACATGCAGGTGGTTATGTGGCCACAGAAGGACGCCGTCAAACTGTTCTGTGATGGTGTACAGAGCACTCAAATTGCAATTGAATCTGTGAAATGCTTTTTATTCCACATAAATACGTGTGGCTACAGGTCCGTGCGAAATCAGCTGATGATTAGTTAGAAAACCACTTATGCATTGCAGGTCAGATTTGCTAACCAAAATTTTCCATTTCCTGAAAATCTGCTATGTGCAGAAAAAAGCAGAGGGTAATAAGCATTGAACCATGCTTTTAGTGTGACGATAAAGCAGGAGAAAGACAGTCCGTGTCTTGCCTGCCTTTACCAAGGGCTGTGCAGCCTTGCTCCATCCTTTCATTGTCTCAGGTGTTTGTGATCCCTGGGCCTGTGCTGACTCAATTAGCTAACCTAGAGAAAGTCCTTGGAGTGGAAGGAGAGTTGGGTTTGTGTCCTTTTGCTAAGTTCAGCAGAAGTCTAGTAAACACCAGTGTTGCCCTGTGTAGAGAAAGAGGGAGAGGAGGGAACGTTTGCCTAGGAGCGATGGGCCAGGCACATCTCTCCTTCTGGTGGCACAAAGACATTAGAATTTTTTTTCATGTCATAAAGTGTCACTTCACCCTGACCTTCTTTACCTGGGATGAATTTCTTACTGATGAATATAAGACACTTGGCATGTTCATGAATTACCATCACAAGATGGTTCTTCTGATTGATAAACTGCTCTGCGTTAGTGGCTTAAGCTTGAGGAGAGCATTTAATTTTCAGCATGGTAACAGTTAATTGGCAGAGACACAAGATAGAGAAGCCTTGCGGAGCCGACCTCAATGAGGGGGGGAAAAGTATTTCGTTACAGCAAAGAGCTTAGCAGTGTTTCATTAGCTTATGTACTAGTAGTGGTCCTGTCTAATGCCTTTTTCAGATCATTATAAAGAGAAAAAGAATGGAGTTTGAAGGCCAAATGGCATAACATTACCTAAGAGAAACAAAAAAACAGTCCACAAAGGAAAAGATCATAGTTGCAACTAATCATGAGCATTTAACAAACTGAAAATATTAGAGAAGAAAAAGTGGGAAGGAGACAAAATAAATAACAGTGTGAAGAAAGTGGAATGAAAATTCTCAGTCCTGAAGTATGGGGACCGGGACACTTAACGGAATAGAAAGTAGCAAAACTGCTGGAAGCACCTACTTATACCAAACCGCCTTAGCTTTGGAGACTCATTGTCACCACAGGTTATTAGCATCAGGAGCTTAGCAGGATTCCTTTGAAGACCTGGTATGTTGATGAGTGTATTCAGAATTAACAGAAAAATATTAATAGAATAAAACTGAAACCCCACAAAGCTTTTAAGAGCCAAGTAAGCGTCTCTGCTTCAGGCAGGGCAACCTGTCAGTGTAGAACTTCAAAAGAAACTTTTCCATGGGATTAGCTTTCTCATTTTTCCCTTCAAAATGCAAGGAACAGCTGTGCTTGGTGACAGAATACGGATTAGCTGAAACTAGTGGTTTTATCAGACTGGTGTCCTGCATGTATTTCTTCATGGGATGCAGCATCCTCCCTTTATTAGGAAGACTAAGTCCATCAACATTGGGTCTTTTTTTAACCTGTTTTCATGATTTTTTTCACATTATGATATGATTATGTGCCCTAATGTTTCCATGAAGTGGTGCGTGGAAGCCGATGCTGAGATCTGGCCAAACAGAGCTAGTGTCTATGACGATCTCCCATACCTGCAGAACTTCATGGTTGACAACATACATCCAAACACTTGGGGAACCCAGTGCTCATGTGCAAAAGCTATTACAGTCACTCTTCTGCTCTGTGCCAGCATGGAAATTCTTGTGTGCTAGCTGTGTACATACTATTTATTTGGCACCAATGTCTGGAAAAAAAAGGAAGACATTCAGATATCAAGATTTCTGAGCAAAGTCCAAAATAAGTACTTTTAAGAACGGAAATGCTGCCTTTCCATGGACTGCTCTGCCCGTAACCAACCTCCCCACTCCAGCTGCCCTTTCTGTCATCAAATCCATTCTCAACTCTTTAAAGGCTTCTTTTAATTATATTTGATTAGTGAAAAGACACTTTAATTTCACAGAGTCCCTTTTGTTACTGAAATCTAGGCTAAACTCATGTGAAAAGTTTTGTAAGAATGGAAACAAACCATTCCTGGGTTAGCAAGTCCGCTCTTCCCACGCAGGATGTAATTTTGGTACAGTTACTTGGAATATGTGATTTTTCTATACAGTCTGAATAATTTTAGATTGATTTCTTCTTAGCCTGAGGCTGTTTATCAAGACTCGATGGAGGAGGAGGTGTAGAAGCTCCGTGACTGGACAGGGACTGTTGCACGGACTTTGCCTATACAGCCGTAGTAGCCAAGGTGTGACGAGAAATAATTTCTCTTTGAGGAAGCTTGCTAAAAAAAAAGCCTATAGTGAAGACAATGATACAGTGGCAGAACAAGTTTTTCTACAATAGTGTCTTCTGCTTGTGAAGGGCCAATAGAAAGGCGGGATTTGGCTTCTAAAAGCTCGAGTGCTATTTTTGGCGATGCATTGGACTGCATGGTAGGAATGCTGGTACATTGTACCTGTAAAGTGGTGAGCAAATTTTCCTAAATGTACCCTACAGGTTCCTTCTCAGGTCAGGTCACGCATCTGCTTCTTGTGCCACTAGGTAACCTATTAATTTATTTATGTACCAGTTTCACTGTGAAAATATGGATTGAATGGGCTCTCAGTTCATGCTTTTGATAGAACAGATGCTGGATGAACATAGATGGAGGAAAACAGTTTGTTTGAAATAAGTGTTTGAAACCTTTGCCATCAGCAGACCCTTCAAATTTGACTGCCTGGTGACTCTGTTCTTCTGCAGCTTTTTATGGTGGGCTCGTGATTGTTCTACATGAGCACCTTTCAGTAGGTGCTCCATGTGTCTCTCCTCTCATCCTTTTCTCCACAGGGAGAAGCGAGAACCACAGACTCATTTTCTGGAGTAGTTTTATTTCAGGAAGAGAGGCTGGGGTTTTTTTCTCTTTTCTCTTTTGATTTGTTACTGATGACATTTTCTAACCACACTGTCCAAATCGAAGGCTGAAGGCTTCAACCTGAAGTCTTTTTAGGAGGATGATGCTTGTAACCACATGACTCCACAGTTGAGACTTTGAGAAAATTGTTAACAAGTCTTTTGTTGGTTTAGTTTGGTTTTGGCTGTAACCTGAAAAAGCATGACCTCAGCATATTACAAATACTCAGCTACAATATGACAATATTATGGATGGGCACTTGCAAAACATCTCTAAAGATAAATAGCAAGCAGGCTCTGGTCTGTGACAGGGATGACAGGTCTCCCATCTGTCCTCTTCCAAGTCCTGGCTGCCACCAGCTGAGATATGGTAAGTGAGTTCTCAACACCCACAGAAGACATTCTTGTTTCAGATTTTCCACTCCATTCCCCCATTTACATCCATCTAATGACAGGAGGGTGAGTAAGAAGGGGTCAGGTTGCAGGAGCGTGCTGACACTTCCTCTGTTATTCCTCGGGAGTTGTGTTAGCATAGGCATGGCATGAGCCGTTTCAGTCCGAACGTGTGTGAGACAGGGAGTGGAGTAAGGAAGAACATGTCAACCCATGATGAAAAGAGTGGAATATTAAAAATATTTTTAATTATTTTAAAAAAATGATTAATGATTAATGGTTTCTTATTTCCCAGAGTAGCAGGTAAGCTAGTAATTCTGAAGGACTTTCTTGTCAACCTGATGATATATTCATTGCAGGAAGATTGTCTCACTGGACAAACCTGTTGATTTGAGTTCTCCTGTGGCATTTGGGATTTCTTGGGAAGGGTGTTGGGATGGTTTGGGAGAGCCCCTAAAAATACCTCTGGGTAATACAGACTGGCAGGTTGGAGATGGACCTTTGTCCAAGGAAGGTGATCATGAAGGTACTGGGAAGTTGGTCCAAGAAAGGTCGTCGTGGAAGGTACTGGGAAACTGGTACTAGAGAAGGGAGAGCACAAGAAGAATTTAAAAAAAGGTGTTTGATATGTAAAGTTGGAAACGAGTACCAAAAAAATCTCTCTGAATCTGAGAACTTTATAACTGATTTAGTGAAAAATATTCTGCAATGCCGCCTTGTTCAGTGTTGTATTGGAGAACAAATTGGTATTGTATTGTAATGACTTTCCAGTCTATTTTTTCTCATTGTAAAATCCACCCATAAGTTCTGGAAAATATCATTGACACTTGCATCTCTTGGATAAAATCCATTGGCAGGACACCCTGCTGCCTCCCAGCTCCGGGGTGATAGTGGAAGGTTTCTGCTGGGATGTGGCAGCCAGCTGGGAAGGCAGGAGCCAGCAGTTGTGGTAGTGCAAGGCTTAGGGTTTTCCTTTTGTTTTTTTTAACTATATAGTTTGCAGGTACATTTATAGAAGTAAAACATAAAAATGAGCCTTTGCAGGAAAGTTTATAGCATTTTTAAGTGAACTTTTCTTTTGGTTAGGTGGTTTGGGTTTTTTTTGTGGTTTGTTGGGGTTTTTTTGTAATTAAACTCCTCTTGCATTTTTCACTCCTCTTCTTCCAGTGATGCTTTTAAAGATATTTTTTTCCTCCTCCTTAATCAAACATAAAAATACCTTTTGCAGGCTGGAGTCAGCATGATGCATTAATGATTCGAGTTCTCTTAGGAAAAGCAAACATGAGAATGACAGGATTTTAATATGATGCTAAGATAAAATACGAGTATGGAAAATTACATCATACTTATCCAGCCTGAGTATGATATAATACTCCTTGATGCCAAGACAGGGATTAAGCTAGAGTCTGATATCCTGCAAGAGTACTTTCCTCTGGGTGTTAAGCCTCTGTTAAAAAAAAAAAAAAGTGAAGCCTGCCTGTCTCAGCCTATGTCCCGTGACCCAAAGGGGAACCACAAAAGCTGCTTAATCTATCTCCCGCCGCAGGACATGGCTGTGAATGTAAACCAGACGCACGATGTATTTGGTCATAAATAGAAAGCGAGCAGAACAGCAGGAAACCATAATTCTTTGTGTGCACACACGTGCGACTTGGGAGTCACTGAATAGGCTGAACCTGATCGGAGATAAGAGTGAGACACTAAAACCTGCGTTTGGACAAAAAGAGGATTTAGACCTTGCCTAATTCCAGCAACTTATCGTTTTTCAGCTAGTTTTTTCAAATCTAGAATTGTTCTCCCAACTTCGGTGGTAAGCCGTAGAGAGGATGTGATGCACCGGCAGGTTTTGTATGCGGTGCTACTATACATCATCACCATCCTCCTCGTTTTCTGCTCCTTCCCTAATTTAGCTCTGCTTTACAGCTACGTGTCTTTCCCTTCCTTCGATGCTACACCATCTCAAAACAGAGTGACAGACCCCACAAGCCGTCCCTTGGCAGTTGTTTTCTTGTCCATACAACTACAAACTCAAGCTGAAGGCACCTTACATATGGGTTTTTTTGGCCCTCATGGAGCTGTAACAGTGTGAGAGACAAAAATTGGATTTTAATAGTATTTTAGCACATGCAGTAGCTACTTCTCTGACACTAGCACTCTTATTAGTAGCTGGCACCCTTAAGCCCTATTCAAATAAAAGTATATTTTGAGTCTTATTTAATCATGAAATTCATGACTGCTGCAGAGATCATCATCCCCAAGATGCCTACATGTGCTGTTTTCAATTGGCTACATGTCCAAGACTTACTGAGAACAGAGGATTGGCTTCTGTTCCTGTTTATTAGACCCCTTTATGAGATACAAATCAGGTGTATTAGGAGAGCTTTAATTGCTCTTGGTTTTGCTTGTTCTAATCTCACACAAATGCTATCCCTAGTAGTGGTGCAGCTCTTCATACTGGCTAAGCATCACTAATATATATTTTTTTAAAAAAAATGAGATCATAGAATGGTTTGGTTGGAAGGGACCTTAAAGACCATCTTGTTCCAACCCCCCTGCCATGGGCAGGGACACCTTCCACCAGACCAGGTTGCCCAAAGCCCCATCCAGCCTGGCCTTGAACGCTTCCAGGGATGGAGTATCCACAGCTTCTCTGGGCAACCTGTGCCACTGCCTCACTGCTCTTATAGTGAAGAATTTCTTCCTTTTATTTAATCTAAATCTTCCCTCTTCC